TGCGGGGCCTGTGGAGCCGGCAGATGCCCTCAGAGCACCGCACGGTCCCGCACAGGTGCTCCCGTTCCTTCCGTAGATGCTGCACTACGTGTGCGGGCGGATGTATTTACAGGGTCCGTTCGGGAGGGAGAACCGCACGGTGCTTTGAACAGAGAGTTTAATATAATGACTTACTAACGGGATTGTAGCAAGGAGGCTGAGGGGAAGTAAACTGGACTATAGAGAATGGCAAGAAGCAAGGCAGAAGCCCCAGGCCATGAAGGGGCTCCCAGCGAGGACCCCACTCTGCCCCCCGGCCGCGATCTGGGCCTCTGGCCGAGGACTAGCTGTGGCTCCCCGGGTGGCAGAGAGGCCGCTTGGCGCTGCCCTGGAGGAACCACTGGAAATCCTCCTTGTACTTAAGGCAGCGGTTCTCAACCTGTGGGTCGCGACCCCTTTGGCGGTCAAACGGCCCTTTCACAGGGGTCGCCTAAGACCATCCTGCATATCAGATATTTACATGACGATTCATAGCAGTAGCAACATTACAGTTATGAAGTGGCAACGAAAATAATTTTATGGTTGGGTCACAACATGAGGAACTGTATTTAAAGGGCCAGAAGGTTGAGAACCACTGACTTAAGGGGTCGCCAGGGGACGCTGGTGGACGCGGGGGCTGCTGGCCACCAGCAGTGTGAGCGCTGGAGGGGAGACCCGCTGAGAGCGGAAGGAGCCTGCAGTCCAGCCCCGCGCAGCGCAACCAGCAGGAAAAGTTCTTCCTCCTGCAGTGTCTCCCGGGCACCCGCCACTGACAAAGCGGAACATCACACCTGCCGGCCAGAAAAGTAACCGTCAGATCCCTCCCCACGGAGCAGGCACTGAAGTTTGCATTGGGAGCTGACATATAGTGCATTGGTAATAGGCATGATATGCAGGGCATATTCACTCAGTCCCCTACCTACAGGTATTGTATTTATTTCCAGTCTTTTGCTAGTAGAAAAGGTGGAATTATGCAAATAACAGTATGCAAAGTGGAATATTCCAGGGTATCGATTTAACAAACACGTAAACCAGCCCTAGCTGGTTTGGCTCAGTGGATAGAGCATCAGACTGCGGGCTGAAGGGTTCCAGGTTCAGTTCTGGTCAAGGGCACATGCCAGGGTTGGGAGCTCAGTCCCCAATGTGGGGGCGTGCAGGAGGCAGCCAACCAATGATTTTCTCTCATCATTGACGTTTCTAACTCTCTCTCCCTCTCCAGTCCTCTCTGAAATAAGTATATATTTAAAAAAGAAACACACAAACCCATTGTAATATAGACTATTGGAACATATTGGACCTTATTTAGACCCAATTTAAACTAAAAAAGAATGAGATGCTTGGGGAACCTAGACACTGACTACAGTGTTTTCCCCCAAAATATATTCTCATTGATTTCAGAGAGGAAGGGAGAGGGAGAGAGATACAGAAATGCCAGTGATGAGAATCATTGATGGGCTGCCTCCTGCACGCCCAACACTGAGGATCCAGCCCACAACCCAGGCATGAGCCCTTGACCAGGAACCGAACCCCGGTCCCTGCAGTTTGCAGCCCACACTCTATCCACTGAGCCAAACCAGCTGGGGTGACACTGACTACATTTTTAAATGAAATTAAGTGCCCGTACTTTGCTTTTTCCCCCACACATTATGGCATTGTGTTTATATTTTCAAAACATTAACAAAAATATATACAAATGACTACCTAAAATTATCCACTTGTTCATGCTGAAAATGGAAGATGTCTTCTGAGAGGTACTGACATAGATTTAAGCAAAGCAGAACGTTAAGACCTGAATTAAAGGGATGCATTTATAAAAAGCTGTATGCACCCAAAATTCTATAAATAAAAAAATGTAATGGGGAAAATTCTGAAGACCATAGTCAGGTGTCTGGGACCTGGACTGGCCTTTAAATATTTTGTTGACCTCTGGGATGGCGAGGTTCTGGGATTCCCGAGGAATGCTGGTGTTTGATAAAGACAAAGACACCCACAAGATCCTTTGCTTACTCTCCCCTGAATTCTTCAGGCCATGCTCAGTTCTGATTGTCCTGGAAGAGCATGCGCTGATTTTATAAAACATTCATTATTATCAGTTGGACATTTCGGGTTAGCTCTACACGTGGTACCATTTCTTGGAGGGAAAAAAAAATTTCTTGGTAAGGTGTAAGGGCAGAGTCACCAACATGCCCGGTAAGACGCCGTGGAGGGACGCCAGCGCCCTCGTGCTTCGGGGACCACGTGCGCCCGGTCCGCCGCG